TTGTGAAAAATCAGAGAGAACTATATTTCTTGTATAATGATAAGAAGATAATACATCAATATATAGGAAAATAAAGAACTAATCTGGGAAACAAATAATCAAATCTATGAAATGAATAATCTAACTTCCTATTTTATAGATCTTGTTTTTAATATATATTGATTACAATCCTAATATCCTAATATAGAATTATACACTTCAACACTTCCCCTCAAGCTGGAGCATATAAGTCATATGCAACAAGCTTGCTACAGATAGAATCAATGTGCGGACCCCTGAGAGATTTAGTGAGGGTTCTGCTAACTAGTCGTTGGAACTGACATGACTAGTGGTAATACATCCAGATAGAACTTTTTCCTGAATAAAATGACAATCAATTTCTATGTGATTAGTTCTCTCATGAAATATTGGATTAGAGGCAATATGGAGAGCAGCTTGATTATCACAAAGTAACTTCATTTGTGACACTTCTACAAATTTCAACTCTTGGATCAGTTGCTTTAACCAAATGAGCTCACAAGTAGCTAAGGCCATTGCACGATATTCAGATTCTGCGCTTGATCGGGCAACAACAACTTGCTCCTTACTTTTCCAAGACACTAGGTTTCCTCCAATAAGAACACAAAAACCCGAAGTAGAATGTCTATCAGATGGAGATCATGCCCAATCAACATTAGAATATCCAACAATGTGTGAATTACCCCTGTTCTGATATAACAACCATTTGCCTGGTGCACCCTTTATATACCTTAAAATCCGAACAACTGCATCCTAATGACTATCACATGGAGACTGTAGGAACTGACTTACAACTCTAACAGAAAAGGAAATATCAGGTCGTGTGATAGTGAGATAATTAAGTTTACCAACTAGTCTTCGGTATCTTCCAGAATCAGCTAGCGACTCCCCCTGTCCATGCGAGAGTTTTAAATTTGGATCTATAGGAGAGTTTATTGGTCTACAATCTGACATTCCTATTTCTTCAAGAATATCTAGTGCATACTTTCTCTAAGAGATAAAAATACCAGATTTGGACTAAGCAACTTCTATACCAAGGAAGTATTTAAGAAGTCCTAAATCTTTGGTTTGAAAGTGTTTGAATAAATGCTTCTTCAATTGTTCAATACCATCTTGATCACTCCCTGTAATGACAATATCATCAATATAGACAACTAGATAGATACATTGCCTTGGTGTTGTATGTCTATAAAAGACAAAATGATCAGACTTGTACCGAATCATACCAAACTCTTGGATAACAGTATTGAATTGTCCAAACCAGGCACGAGGAGACTATTTCAAACCATATAGAGAATGAAACTAACCCCCATGTGTGATTATGATGCAAAACAGTCATCTTATCAACCGTTGCCTGACGCCATCCGGGATCAGAGGGTGCCTCATGAACATTTGAAAGGATAGAAATAGAAGAAATTGTTGACACAAAAGCATAATATAATGAAGATAAACAATGATAACTTAAAAAATTATAGATCAGATGAGGGATGTGAGTAGACCACAAACCTTTACGAATGGCAATGGGAAACTGATCATCAGGAGAGAGGATCGTGGCATTGGAGGAATCAGGAGCAGGACTGCCATTGACAGGAGCCTCAAGGACACTAACCAGATTATGAGTAGTACCTATAAATAGAACAAGACTATGGTCTGTAATGGGAGACTCAGTAGTAGAAAATTGTGTGGCTATGATAGACTCAAGGACATTGGTAATGGACGGTATGGGAAGGACCATGGTTATGGACTCACAATCTAAGGTAAAAGAAGAAAAGAATGGAGACAACTCAAAAAACGTAACATCAGCGGAGAGAAAATAGCAATGTGTTGATAGAGAATAACACTTATATCATTTCTAAAGACGTGAATACCCTAAGAAAATACACTTAGTAGATTTAGCTGCTAGTTTGTCTTGACTATGAGGGAAAACATGGACAAAGCATGTGCACCCAAAGACACGAGGAGGGATAGAATACAACGATTGATCAGGAAATAAAATGGAATGAGGTACCTTGTCATTGAGGACAGAAGAGGGCATCTGATTTATTATGAAACATACGGTCAAAACATTGTCTGCCTAAAAATGAAAAGGGACTTTATTATGTAAAAGCAGGGTACGGGCAGTTTCAATGAGATGTCTATTTTTACGCTAAGCAGCCCTATTTTGTTGTGGGGTATAAGCATAAGAGGACTGATGAAGGATTCCTTGAGAAGACATGAATTTAGGAAAGGGATCAGAGAAATACTCGCGAGCATTATCACTGCATAATAATCGAATAACAGAATTAAATTGAGTCTTAATTTATGCACAAAAAGATTCAAAGATGGAAAATAACTCGGAACGAGTTTTCATTAGAAATTACCAAGTACAGCGTGAGTAATCATCAATAAAGATAACGAAGTACTAAAAACCTAAAACATATGACGCACGACAAGGTCCCGACACATCTGAATAAGCTAACTCAAAAGAGGACGCAACCCGTTTATTGACACACTTTGGAAAGGTGCTACGAGAATGTTTTCCAAGCTGACATGACTCACAATTTAAAGACGATAAATTATATAGACCAGGATGCATCTTTTTAAGCTTTACTAAACTGGGATGACCCAAACTAATATGAAGGAGTGCTAGAGATTCAGTGACAATGCATGCTATAGATGGTAGATGGAGATGATAGAGGCCCTATGACTCATGTCTTATGCCAATCATCCGTCTCGTGCCTCGATCCTGTATAACAACAGAGTTAGTATCAAAAGATATAGAACAATTTAAAGAGTGGGTAAGTTTACTGACAGAGGCAAGATTAAATGGATAATTGGGAATATAGAGAACATAGTCTAATTCTAAGGATGGAAGTGGTTTAGCATGACCTACAGCTTTAACAACAACTTTGGAGCCATTGGCTAAAGTAACAGATGGTAAAGATGCAACATTAGTTAAATGAGAAAGTAAGTGAGGTTTACCAGAAATGTGATCAGAGGCACCTGAGTCGAGAACCCAAGGTCCAAGAGAAGAAGATTGAGTAAGGCATGCAACTGAATTACTCGATTGAGCGATAGAGGCAATAGATGAAGAAGACTGCTTATTTGCCTGAATGTGGAGGTATTCTTCATAATCAGCCCCAGTGAGATTTAATGATGGTTGAGTGTGTCCTTCAAAAGAATCAAAACGAAGGTCAGCCTGAGCAACATTAGCGGTCCGAGTAGGGCGACCATGTAATTTGTAACATTTTTCCCTTGTATGCCCCCAACAATGGCAGTAACTACACTTGGGGCGTCCGCTTCGACCACGATCTCCCTATTCTCCTTTATAAGTAGTTTGAGACTGAGAAGCCATAGTAGAAGAGTCAACAGTTGTAGAACTAGGGACAGTACTTGGGATGAAACCCGAATTAACCTAGCAAATACTTCATCAAGACATGACACAGTAGCGTTAGCTAAAATCTGATTTTGTACAGGAGTGAGATCAGGACTAATAGCAGCAAGGGTTAGAACCATGAAGAATTTATCTTGTTGTGCTAGATCTTCTGCAACAGATTTACCAACGAGTAGGAGAAAATTGTACTTTGCCTTGAGGGAGGCCATCTTACCAAGAAAATCTGATATACTCATATCCTGTTGTTTTAGATGAATGAGATTGGACACAATGGAATACAAGTGTTGAATATCATTGGTATATAGTAGTTTAGCATGACTCCATATCTCACAACATGTGCGGTATGTTTTGTAAATGGGATGCATATTAGTGTCAATGGACTGCCATAATAGATTACACAATAAAGCATCAGTTTTGATCCAAGAAGACTTATCTGATGTGATGTCGGTAGCCTTTGTGGTCAAGTGATCCTCCGAACCTTGACCTATACACCATAACTCGACAGAGGCAGCCCAAGAAGAATAATTCGCACTCCCAATCAACTTATCAGTGGTGATTAGTGGGAGAGACAAGAAAGAAAAACCATCGGAAGTGGAGTTTGAGTTCGAAGTAACCATGATAACTAGCATATCTTACCAGAAACCAGAACCAAAGGTAACACGGAGCAAATAAACAGATCGGAGCAGAAGATATGGCGAGGACAACGGCAGAATCTGGTGAAGCTGTCAAAGTTTGACGTTGAAGGCAGTAGAACCTTAGTGGGTTTTGCTCGTCATCATCTTTTCAGCAAGCTGGTGCCGACGGTGAGAATTGACACTCGCCGGAAAAGGAGATCGGAGTTGGATCTGTCGGAAAGAAATGCTGCACGTGGAGGCACGTGTGGCGGTCGATGACGTCGATCTTTGTGAGGTTCTGCTAACGAGATGGAGACGATGAGACGTGTATGGTCAGATGGAGGTTCTGACCACCAGAGAGAGACGTTTAACAATATTTTCCTACATCACAACACGACCTAAATAAGTATTTTATTTTTATTCATATTTAATAAAATTCTACTAATATAAGGAATTTGCAATAAGATAAGGTTTTGTTTCCCAATTTTGTTGTTGAATAGAATACAAAATCTTTTATTTAATTTACTTGTTTGTGTATATATTATTTACTAAAATATGTTATTATTCCATATAATAATTTGTAGTTTTATACAATGAAATTAAATTAAGAACAATATAATGAAATATATTATTGGTTTAAATATTAACTAAAATATTTTTATATCGTTATTATTTTTAGATATATAAATTATTTAAACTATGTCATATTATATTTATTAATAACATTATATAAAATAATAATTTAAATATTAATAATAGATTATAAATAAATTTTATTAAGTATAATTTTTTATAAAATAAGAAATAGGATTGGATTATTTAAAAAAATAGTCCAATTCCATCCTGTAAACCCTCCCCAACTTGACCCGGGGCAGTCTTACTCAGTCGACAGGAAGCGCCGAAGCGGCTCAGTCGTTTGGAACGGACTCCGATCTCACTCCCTCAGCCTCAGCCTCAGGCACTCAGCTATATTTATTTCAAACAGATACACTTCTAAAGTTAGGGGTTTTCTCTATTTTTACACACAAAATCCTAAAACCCTGCACAAAATCCATGACACGATTTTCTCTTTCTCGCTTTTTATTACTTCCAATCCATGCTCAGAAATCCAAAATCTTAACTTTGCACTTCACTACTACTGCTAGATCAGCTGATAAGTTCTACCTTCACTTGCAAAACAACCCTAACAACATTGAGAAAACCCTACCCACTGTCAAGGCGAAATTGGACCCCACTTGTGTGAATGACGTGTTACGAAGGTGTTTTCCCCGTCAATCTCAATTAGGTATTCGTTTCTTCATATGGGCTGGTCTTCAATCTAGTTATAGTCACAGTTCGTTCATGTATGAAAAAGCTTGTAAATTGCTAAAAATTAAGCAGAACTCTAGAATTATTATTGATGTTATTGAAGCTTATAAGAAAGAAGAGTGTGTTGTCAGCGTGAAGACGATGAAAGTGCTTTTAAATTTATGTAAAAAAGCTAGGCTTGCTAACGAGGCTTTGTGGGTATTGAGGAAAGTGCCTGAATTCAATTTAAGAGCTGATACTGTGATGTATAATATAGTTATCAGGTTGTTTTGTGAAAAGGGTGATATGGTTATGGCTGATAACTTGATGAAAGAGATGGGTTTGATTGATCTTTACCCCGATATGATCACAAATGTGTCAATGATTAAAGGGTTTTGCAATGTAGGTAGGTTAGAGGATGCTTGTGCGTTGCTTAAGGCCATGAGAGGACATGGTTGTCCTCCCAATACAGTTGCATATTCAACTCTTCTTGATGGAATTTTTAAGTTAGGCAGAATGCAGAAGGCATTGGAATTGTTAGGGGAAATGGAGAAAGAAGGTGGGAATTGGAGTCCTAATGTTATCACTTATACATCTGTCATTCAGAGATTTTGCGAAAAGGGTATGGTAATGGAGGGATTGAGGGTTTTGGATAGAATGGAAGCTTATGGTTGTGCTCCTAGTCGTGTCACAATAAATCCTTTGATTATGGGTCTTTGCCTTGACGGCAATATAGAGGAAGCATATAAGTTCATTGATAAAGTTGTTGCAGGGGGTAGTGTTTCGTATGGAGATTGCTACAGTTCTCTAGTGTTTGCACTGGTTAGGATTAAAAGACTTAATGAAGCTGATAAGCTCTTTAGGAAGATGTTAGCTAGTGGTATGAAACCTGATGGTTTGGTATGTAGTGTTATGATTAAAGAACTTTGTTTAAAGGGACAAGTAGTGGATGGTTTCTACTTATACGAGGAAATTGAGAAGCTTGGATGCTTATCTACAATTGACTCTGACATTCATTCTATCCTCTTAGATGGGCTTTGTCAAGAAAGCCATTCGTTGGAAGCTTCAAAGCTTGCAAGATTTATGCTGGAAAAAAGAATTCGGCTGCAAGCTCCATATGTTGATAAAATACTCAAACACTTGAAGAAATCTGGAGACAAGGATCTAATTACACATCTCACTAGGATTGGAGGGGGGTGTTATGCAAACAAAAAAAATTGTTAGCGTTGGGGGGCTCCTCTTTGCTGTCTGAGAACAGGGTTGTGATAGTTAAGTCTGAAACTTTTGAATTAAGAACTTACTCAGTTTTAGTCTGTAGAGTTTCGTGGACTACTAAGTCACTTCCAGATTAGCATTAAAAATGTGTAACTTGGAGCAGAAGTGAAATAGTGTTGCCATTCCAATCTGAATATAAATTGGCCTAAAACTCATGATCCAGGTCTAAATGAGATTCCTACCCGGGCATGTCTTTCAGTTTGGAGCCTGCTTTGAGGTAACTCTTTCTTTTTCCCCTCAACTTACCTATTCTTAAGACTGCTCAGGCAAATCAGTTAATGATTTTTTGTTTTGAAATTATTCTTTATTGCTACCTTTCAAATTATATTTTTGATCTTTTACTACTTGTTTATTCTGGGGAGTAGGACAAAAAAAGTGTAGAGCTCTGTTTGTCAATTAAAATTTCTGTAAATCTGACTCAGGTGACATATCCTAAAATAACTTGTGGAGATAGATAATATTGTTTGATATTCTCGGATTATACTCTTTGGAAGCATATTAGACCTGATCAAAGCTGTGAGTTTTAAGTGATTGAGGGAATGGTTACTCGTATGGAGCTCGCATGATATTATTAGAAATGCTAAAAATATCATATTTGCATAGCTGAAAAATGGATGAATAGATTGATAATTGATAAACCAACAAGGATTGCATGATTGAAAAAGATTTTCTTCCGGATAGTGGCTTGCTCTAGCTAAAATAAATTGCTTTGTCCTAAGATTTAATGTTAGGCTGACAGTTTGTTGAACTAATGCTCAATGTGTTGAATGATGAACCAGTAAAATGCAGCTTCCTCTGCATTTTCCTTTTTATTTATTTTAAGAGTGTATTGTCTGTATAGGACAAATGACTATGTTTATGTCTCTTAGGAAGTGCGTGTTATAAAAAGTAGAGGACAAGATTATATTGGAGGTAATCTAACTTTGCCTTAGGCTTCACATGTGTTTCTTGAGAGTACTCATTACGAACTTACATTTCCAGATAGATTTATCTATTTGGCATAGTCATTTCTTCAACACCTTTCCTTATTTGTGAATTCTTTAGGAACCCTTTCGCAAAGAATATGTGAGAAAGCTCAACCACCCTCCTCTCATTGTTTTTTTTTTTATACATATGATTATTTGTTAAATCTTTACACAGATCTTGGGGATGCTAAATTTCAAAGTTACTGTTCATATTTAGTACATTATACTGTATTTTTTTCCTGAAGCTTCTTTTCTCTTATTGGCACTTGCTTCTGTAGGCAGACTTCTGAATATTGTCCCAATAGCTGGCCAAGATTCTTTAAGGATGTGTCACATGAATGCAGTTGTTGGTAAAATCTTCCATTTGAGTTTCATCTTGTATTCAAGCTTGTATAGTGTCAAATTAGATGATCGATGAACACACTTGACTATGAACAAATGTAGCAACGACATCGCTATCTTGGTTCACAATTTTGGATGATTGATGAGACTGATGAACATACTTGACCATAAACAAATGTAGTAACAGCAACGTCGAACTTGGTTCAAATTTTTTACTTGAGTTGCTCAAGCAATTTATTCATCAGCCAGTATGTTTCAAGTTGAATTTTGTCTTGTAAACACAGTTGTTCTGGGGGTTTAGTTTTAGATCTTCATAACATATTTAGTCAACTACAGCTGGATAAATTTTTATCTGTATAAAATTTGACTTAAAAACTATTTTTAGGGTTCTTCTAGTATAGTCCTGAGAAGAAATGGACGGTTGTGATGCTGACTATCATTATTTTAAGATTCCATATTCATTGATTTATTTCCTGACTGATCTTCTCTTCAAAGGGAACCCCCTTGCAAAGTTAAGTTTCACGTTGGAGCATTTACCTTGACTTGGGAGTTTTTCACCAGAGGCTACTACAACCTCAATTCTCCCTTCTCCTTTCGAATCTAATCTAAGCCCACGTTTTTTCGCAAGTTCTTCACTTACCTAGTTTTAAAACCCGACCTGTTGCGAGACCTAACAAGGTGACTGGGTAATGGGTCGACCGGTCCAATCAGTTGGATCGGTGTAATCAACAATAAAAGTATTTTTTTTTTAATAATTAGTCTCTTAAATTTTAGTATCTTATAAATACCCCTAAAAAAACACAAAGTAGTCCTTAAAATTTTAATTTATTTTAAAAATACCCAAAAAACTTTCTAATCTCTAAAATTAGAGCTAGTCTCTATAAATTTGAAATATAGCAGAAACTCCTTGAACCAGACCAGAGAGGCTGTCGGATTCTAGTCAGACCTGTCTGACCGGCCAGTCCGATTTCGCGTTTTAAAACAATGATCACTTATAAAATTATGAGTGCTCCCAGAGTCAATCAAAACAATTGTTTTTAGTCCCCCAATTCATGGTTATCAAATCGTGTATCGTATCGTGTATCGAAAACCTAATTTTTTGAATCTTGTATCGCGTATCGTATTGTATCGTAAGATACGTCTTTTTCAAAAAATATAATAAAATAATCAAAATTTTCTAAAAATTAATATAATCCTCAAGATTAATTAAAGAATTTTGTGGTATTATTGATTTTAAATTACGGTATTACATAATCAAAATTAATCACAAAATTCCAAGATCAATGTCAATATCTATATCTCCACTTATATTATTATTATCATGTAAAATGGGCAATATATATTCCTCTTTACTTTCTCCATGCAAAATAGGTAAATTTGGACAAGTTTTAGTGAATCGGGTTGAGTGATCCGGTTTCGACCCGAATTTTTTTTTGGACATTTGACCCAAATTAATAAAATCGTATCGATTTATATCGATATTTTTAAGGATACGAACGGATACGTATCGTATCGTAGGATACATATCAACGTATCGAATGGTTTAGGATACACCCTCTGATACGTATCGTTGGCGACCTGTATCGAATCGTATCGTATGATACGTATCGAGTATCGTAGGATACTAACAACTATGCCCCAATTTATGATGATCTTGCACTAGAGATAGCATGCAAAGAAATCTCAGGTACCTCATTTGAAACTTCCAAAATTGCCCCCGTCGTCATTCATAATAACATCTTCTTCATTGCAAACTTCAATTAGAAATAATTTCTTTGCAACGATGGCTAGGAACAAACCTTTTCATTACAGTTGTAATGACTAAGATCAAATACAGCATATAATTATTTAATAAATAATAACAAAATTAAAATAAATAGTAACATTTGATTTTTTATTCAAATTCAACTATGGTTCTTAGCTAATTCATTTCTCTTAAACTAACTGATTCTCGCTCTCTTCAAAGAAAATATGGCTCTGGATAGTGATTTAAGAAGACTTCAGGGAACCATGAGCGCCATCAAAGCCGTGCTGTTGGATGCCGAGACAAAGCAGACTCAAAACCATCAGCTGCGTGACTGGCTTGCGAAGCTTAAGGATGTTTTTTATGATGATGAGGACGTTTTAGATGAATTCGACTTTCAAGCTTCCAGGAGATCACAACAGGGGAGCTCAACAGTAAAGGTATGTCAATGCTTTTCAAGCTCTAATCCTGTTAAAATTGGTCACAAGATCAAGGAGATTAGAGAAAGGTTAGATGCGATCGCAGCTGATATGCACTATATTCCGTGATTTCCTCTTATTGAGAGTCATGTTGACGTGAGGCATGTAATTCCCAAGAAGGGACTAATTCCTCTTCCAAGCTTCTGATGTCATTGGAAGATCATAACCTTTTTGACACAACCAGGCGATGATAATGTCTCCGTCATTCCTATATTGGATTCGGGGTTTGGGTAAAACCACTCTTTCTAAATGGTTTACAATGATGAGAGGGTCTACAGGCATTTTGACTTAAAGATGTGGGTATGTGTTTCCGACGACTTTGATGTTGTTAGGTTGATTAAAGAAATTATTTATTCTGCAACACATGAGGATTGTGCTAAGTTAAAAGCCGATGAAATACCCAGGCTTTTGCAAGCAATTTTGGCTGGTGAATTTTTTGCTTGTCTTGATGATGTTTGGAATGAGAAGCCGATGAAATGACGGAATTGAAAGACTTACTGGTGAATGGTGTCAATGGAAATAAAATTATTGGAGTACACGCAATAAACTGTTGCCAGATAATGGGCACCGTTTCCCCATTTCATACAAGGTCTTTCACCTGAGGATTCTTTATTGTTGTTTAAAAAGTGCGCTTTAAAGATGGAAAAGGAAAGATTTTCCAAACCTCAATAAAATCGCCGAGGACATTGTGAAAATGTAAAGGAATTCCGTTAGCTTTGAGAACTTTAGGGAGCTTACTTTTTGCAAACACATATGAAGATGAGTGGTTAAGAATAAAAGGAAGTGACTCTGGCACTGAATAGGAAAAAGAAGGCATCTTACCAGTACTGAAACTGACTACGATAATTTGCCGTCTCACTTGAAGCAATGTTTTGCTTATCTTTCCTTATTTCCAAAGATTATATCTATGACAGTGATTACGTGACCGGATATGGATGGCACATGGACTCCTTGCAACCTCTAATGATGATATTAAAAGTTAGAAGATGTTGCTGTGCGTTGTATGAAGGAGTTATGGTCAAGGTGTTTCTTAGAGGATTTTACGGAACATTATCATTTATCTTATAGGTTTAAAATGCATGATCTTATGCATGATCTTGCAATGTCAGTGGCAAAAAGTGCCTGTGCTGTTATAAAATCTCGAAACCAATAGTTGATGAAGCGTTCGACACTTTTCAATTATTGTCTCTGATTTCAACCATCAGAAAGCTCCAGAAGTTCTGATAATAGATCAAAGATGGTTCGGTCCGTTATTCTTGAAGGATTTGATGTATCATTTATCAATACATGCATACCCAAATTCAGCACATCCGACTGCTATACATAAACGAACAGCTTTTGAAGTCTTGCAAAGTCTGTTGGTACATTGATACATTTGAGATACCTTGACTTATCACATAATTATTTTTGAAGAAACTTCCTGAATCTATTTGTCAGCTTCAGAAGTTGGAGACATTCAGACTTCTTGCTTGTCTTCGGCTTAAAAGTTGCCTAGGATATACAAGGATGAGCTCCCTTAGGTATGTGGAAATAAGAACAGAAGAGCGGTATCTACAAGAAAATGGAATCGGATGTTGAGTTCTCTTAAATTTTTGCATTGACTGCATGAATCTAGTAAGATTGTTTGAAGGGATGTAAGGTCTCACAAGCCTCCGAAGATTGCTATTAGGGGTTGCCCCCTAACCTCGTTGCCATACAGTATCAAGTCCCTTAAGAGATTAGAGAAGGTACTGATTGATGGCTGTATAAAGCTTAACTTGAAAGATGGAATTTCAAGGAGAAATAAAGACAACCTTTGCTTGGGAGTTCGACAATTTATAATTCGCAATTTGCCATCGTTAGTGGATTTGCCTCAGCTTATTCTTCAAGATCGGCAAACACCTTACAGTGCATAATGATAAAATTGTTCCAATTTAGTAGAACTACCGAGGGCTGCAAAATCTCACATCACTTCAACACTGGAGATTTTAGATTGCCCGAGATTATCATGTCTTCCAAAGGATGCAACGCCTTACTGTCCTCAGACAATTGAAGATTCAAGGCTGTCCTGCTCTGAGTGAAAGCTGCAGACGCGGATCAGTCGAAGATTGCTCATGTCCAAGAGTGTTCATCTGGATGAATAATGCCATCACATAATATGCTTTTTTTTTTCTGTTGAAGAAAATGTGATACCAGATTCTCTTGCTAATGCATTGGTGGCTTGTTGTGTTGCTTCTTCGTTTATTTTTCAAGACTACATCATTTTCCAGCAAGTTTTCCGCCCAGGTTCACATTACTACATATTCTTTTCTTCTCTATTTTCATTTGTTGGTTGTATTTTATTGTTTCTAATGCATGCGTGCTTGAATATTTTATTTTTCCTCTGTACCATTACATTTATCGCGTCAAAGTTTCATCACTCCTCTTATTCCGATTTTTTTTTATAAATCTCCTTCTTATGATCCAGACTACGAAAAAAATTAATTATAAAAGAATATAGATTTATATTCTATTTTTATTTTACTTGTGAATACAGTTAACTAGGCTGTGAAATTACAAAGGCGCTTGTCCAGTCAATTCAATTTCCAATTTTCTAATGTTATTGTTCAAACCTGTATAAGTTGTCACACAAAACTTTGTATTGCAGTTATGTTGTTCAGTATTCAAAGTGAGCTAAAGTCTTTTTAAGTGTGTAAACTAAATCCGATAGCAAAATAAATGCACTGCATTGTGTATGTAAAGGAAAGTAGGAACCCTGTTTATACTGTAAGGCTTGAATGTAAAACCAGAATTAATCGAAATCATGCATTCATAAACCCAATGATTTGGAAGGGTTTTGAATTGAGAATAATTTGTATTACCTTTTTAACTTTGATAAAGCTGTTAACCAATAACTATTCTACTCAATATCACAACTTTTTATCTTAACTGAAATGTAATTGAATGTTGCTGGTGGACATTACTGTATACCCTATAGGATTCCAGAATAATGTGATCAGAGGTTAGAATATATGGTATTATTTTCAGTTAACTTACATATATTGAGAAGCCAGTTGAAGGAAACAAATTTTGGGTGGAGAGAGAACGAGGATCCCTCTTGGCTCACTGTCATGGAATTGGTTGATGCAGGATTAGTTCACATTGCTTCATGAATGG